ATCAACTGATGCTCGCTTCACTTTTTTCTTTAAGGAATATGCCCTCTTTATAAATTAGAACTCATATAACCATTATGAGCTTTATAATCTCCTGTGATACACATAGTTGGTTAATATTTTATTTTTCTAATTTATTTGAAAATTTTGAGTTTCATTATTAATGATACTTGTGAAATAATATAGGATAAATTTGATAGTGATAACATAAATGATCAACGAGATCATGTCTTGAAACATATGAGAAAGTTATGGAACAATTGGAAAGGATCGATGCACAAGAACATAAAGTATAAGCCATTCCGCGATACTTTAAGAGATGTGCCAGAGGGGGTAGACAAGAGTGATTGGGAATGGCTGGTCAAAGAGCATTTTTTAACTGAAAAATTTAAGGTAAGGTTTCATAACTATTTATTAACATCTTATATTAAGTGGCTAATCATAATTTTGGTGGCGTATTGTTAATTTAGGAAACAAGTACAAGAAACTCGATCAATAGGTCTAAGTTGACAATGCCTCATCGTACGGGTAGTAAGCCTATTCGAGAGATCATTTATGAATTGGTGAGTAAATATTGTAATTTTTATTAAGAAACCTCATCTTTGTTAAAACATTTCTGTGACTTATTTATTTAAATGTGAAGGGAGGCAAAGACGGAAACCCCCCAGATATGGCAACTATCTTTTTTGAGACTCGTAAGAAGGACGACAAGCTTGTCGAACCTGAAACCAATGAAAAATATGTAAGTTTATTGTTAAATTTTATTTTACATCATTTTATTTTCTGTGTTGTATTATGTCCAATAGTCTTGTAATTTATAGGCGAAAATCCAAGAACTGGTGCAATTTGAATCGTCTCTTACAAACATTGAGGTCGTAGAAAGGTGCTTCGGACCTCAACGCAAGAGTCATATAGTTGGATTTGGTGGTGGAATTACTGCTAAGGAGTTAAAAGGTGGTTACTCCTCAAAGGTTGCATTGTTGGAAAAGCTGAGTGCTACTGAAAAAGAAAATGAATCACTAAAAGGACGCATGGAAGGGCTAGAGAGTAAATGCGAAGTTCTAGAGAGTAAATATGTACAACTTGCAAGTGCAGTGTTTAACCTTGCTTCATCATCATCTTCAAGTGAATAATAGATTGAAGCATTTAACAGGTTAGTAGATTAAAAATTCTATTAATCACCTTTCAAAATATACTTTATCTAAAACTTAAAAATAATATAATTTTACATTAATCACCTCTTCTTGTACTTTTCCTTGCATGTGGAAAAGATAGAGCTCAAACCAAAATAAAATAAAATGGTGGAGGGACATTTAATACTAAGTTGATTTTAATCCCATTGTTATATGTATTACTTGGAACCTTCCTCAATGGAGGTTTTTGATATTGACCTGTAGATATAGAGGAAGATGATTTCTGGGAATATTGTCTATGCTTCACTCTTAGTTTCTTTTATCAAGAACCAACATATTCACAGCGAATAATTTATAAATGTACTTGAGAGTTGAGATAATCAGTACCGATTAGAATGATGAGAATATTCTACTACTCTTGTGCTGATCTTTTTTGCAGTATGTAAAAATATTTTTGCAAATCCTGCCAACTTATTTAACTACAACCCCAAATGGATAAGCTGCCAGCAGTTTGATCCCATGTTACGCCCAATTATCAAGCATTTGATTTTTTCTGAACTATTGTCTTGAGAATTTTAATATTCCATTTATGCATAAATAAAATAAGATAAGTCCATCGTTATCTGTTTGAGACGGAACAGTTTCTGAAAAATAAAACTGTAAGTGTCATGAAAATGAGCTTTCTGTCTCAATCCCAATTATTTTTTGATGCTGTTTCATCTCCTTCCTTCGATTTCCTGGCATGAGATAGAGTTAGCAAGTAACACTAGTATTTCAATTTTCAACAACTTTAATGGTGACTTTGTTCTTGACAAATGTAACATCTGGTTTTTAACAATAGTTGAAGGTGACTTCTCCCAAGTTAGTTATTTCATCTTACCAGTGCTAGTTCATATTATGTAGAAGGAGTAAAACCAGTTGCATTACTTCGAGTAAAATGTTTTTACGCTACAGCTTCTTTCAAACAATGATACCAAATAGCATTCTTTGAAACCAAATAGCATACATATAGTTTTGGGTTGATATTATTTTGGACTCCACTCAGGTAATGCGAAGAGCTTATAATTATAAAATGTGAATTCTCTCACATAATAAATTGAAAAGTTGATCCATTATACTGTTTGCTTCTATACATCTGGCATGTGCTAGAAGTTGCATATAGATGTGTGCTAGATGCCATTAATATTACATTCTGCGATGAAATTGTACAATGCTCATGTAATTTTTTTTCCATTACATTAAGGTTTATGAATTTAAATAAAAATATAGTCATCGAGACACGTAAATTTATAAGAAAGAATGAAGTTCCATACCCAATATTACCTAGAGTTGTCATAATCTAGCTCAATGAACAGAGAACTGATGAAATAATATACCTCAAAGCAGAACCAAAAGGTGAGTTGTAAAAGAAAATTTGGTATATGAACAAGTAATCATCGATTCTTCATAGAGACTTGATTTGAAGTCATTATCGACTTTTTCTCAAAAGTTTCTATATGAATTTTGTATCTCAATCGCTTTTTCTCCTTATGTGTAGAATCACATGAAGCTCTATATAGAATGTGCTTTCCAGAATAAGGCAATTTGTTGTGCAGGTTTTAGTATGACTAGGATGTGTGATTTAGAACTTCATCAGTCTTCTGATCATTGTCCGTGAATGTAGGAAATATAATGCGTCATTTTTCTGCTACAATATTGCCTACTGTTATGTCAACTGATGATTGTATTATTTCACTAGGGCGATCAGTTTCGTCTTTAATGAATCTGATCTTCTTCTTTAATTGTTTATTCTTTGTTACAAACTGACATAAATGTTTTACTTTAATAGATCAAAAACTTGGAAGTCTGAAGAACTTATTGTTGAAGAAAGTGCACATCAAGTTGAAGAACAAGAGAATTTTGTTATGTTAGGGATGATTTGAAGGCACTGTCTTATGTACATATGCTGCAATTTTATTTTTTCTCTTTTTAGGAATTGTTAAAAATGATGTTATACTATTTGGATTGCTTTCTGGTAATGTGATGATGTTATACTATTTGAATTTCTTTCTGCTAATGTGATGCTTAGATCTTTGTATTAACAGAATATCAATCATTTGGTTCATTTTCAAATGTGTCTGGTGTGTATATGAAAGCTTATAAAATAAGTATTACTATTAGTGAAATATATATTTTTGTAATTGTATTTATTAAAAGTTTCCAGTAGCGAAGGGAATGTGGTCATAGTAACTATTGAATAACAGGTTTCTCAAATAGTTTATTAGGCATTAGCGAAGGGAAATTTGGAGCCAAAAAATATAATTATACAATTAACAAAGGGATTTTCGGTCACTAAAAGCACTTGTAAGGACCAAATTAGTTATTGGCATTGAGACTTTTAACGACTGGATAACACATTAACAAGGGAAAACTTTTGTTGCTAAAAACGATGTATAACGACCGGAAATTATGCCGTCGCTAAAGGGTCTTTAACGACCGGATTGAAAATCGGTCGTTAACTTTTAACGTCGAAGCTTTTAACGACCGCTGACGACTGGATTTTTCTCGGTCCTTATTGACTTATAGCGACTGGATATGGACTTTTAACGACCAAATTTCCTCTCGCTAAAAGCTTATTTTCTTGTAGTGAATGCACCTTTCTCCTTGGTTCAATAGTTCAACTCAAAAGCCAAACCAACCACCCCATACTTCAACTTTTACAAAGTTCATAATAAATTCAAGAGCTCACGAGAGGTACAAGGTTCAAATAAATGGTCAATTCAAATAACTAGGTAAAGCTTGTAATGTGGTTGCCAAAGAAACAGGATTACAGGCTCAAAATGGGTTAACTATAATACATAACAGTTAGATGGGTAAAAGTATATATTTGAATCAACAAAGAAATGCCTATATCACATCCAAGACTGAATAAAACTATTATTTCGCTTTGCACACACACGGGTCAAGTTCTAGATATCAAATGCAATGCACAGAATACACAAAACCTCACACACACATGGCATATAACTCATTCAGGATTGGACTATCAAAATACTCTAGTCAAAGCAATTAAGCAAAGTTAAGATCATACAATTTAAGGTACTTATACAAGAGTCAAAAATTGAGCCTAAGCGTCACAACTAAAGTACTCACTATTCTCAAGGCATAATAAATTTAAGAGATATTGCCTTCAATTCAAATCACAGCACAAGGTTTCCTACTCCTAAAAGAAATAAAACTAACTACACCCGATTCAAACAAAACCCTCTGAAAAGAGCCGCGGTACAAAGAAAAATCAAGGAAGAATTTTTACACTACCTACAAACTAAAATCTTTTTGTCTTTTTTCTTTCGACTTTAATCCCTCAAGAAGCCTGTCGATGATATCCATCGTCGGGAAAAATCGAAAATTTTAAAATTTTTCTCATTTGTTTCCAAAATATTTTCTATCTCTACTAACTACAACTAAAAAAAAGAAAACTAATATACATACATACAAATATCCCCCACCCCACACTTTAAGTTGTGGCATGTCCCCATGACACACAATTAAAAAGCATAAGGTAAATGAGACTTTCCTGAATATCTAGTCGGGGTCTGAGTCGAAGTCGGGCTCTATTCCTCATGCCCGAACTAATGCACACATCCATGCAGATAGCTTCTTCTCAGCCTTTTTGGGGTACACCCCACACTTATCTTTCTCGTTCACTGTAGTCTTCTCTATCGAGCCCTTCACTTTCCACTCAACACTTGCAGCTGGTTTTCCCTTTTGCACCCCTTTTCTATATCCATCTTGAAAATCAGTCTCCTCACCCACTCTAAGCATGAGTTTTCTCTCATGCATATCTAATATCGCTACATGTCGCTAATAATGGTCTTCCTAGGATGAGGGGGACCTCGTTGTTTTCCTCCATATTCACTACTATAAAATTCACAGGAAATACGAACTTATCCACCAGAACTAACACATCTTCCACTATCCCCTCGGGTATTAAAGTCGTTTGGTCTGCCAGCTGCAATGATATTGGTGCAGACCTTATCTCTCCAATCTCCTTCTTCAGTTTCCTGTAAATAGATAGAGGAATTAAATTAATTGAGGTACCAGAATTACATAAAGACTTATCAAAATTAATAGTTCCTAAAGAGTAAGGTATAGTAAAATTCCCTGGATCTCCATACTTTTGTGGGAGTTTATTTTGTAATATCACACTGCAATGCTCTATGAGCTTGACCACTGAGGTCTCTTCTACTTTCCTCTTCTTCGTAAGGATCTCTTTCAAAAATTTAGCATAAAAAGGCATTTGCGAGAGCACTTCTGTGAATGGTAAGTTTACATGAACCTGTTTCAGCACATCCAGAAAACTATCAAACTGCTTGTCTAGCTTTTCTCTACATAGCTTTTGAGGGAAAGGTAGCGCAGGCATATGCTTGCTCTCCTCATGTTCCTCCCTTCTCGATTTTTTATCCTTCTTCTTTTTCTCAGCTTTCATTGGGCCTTTCTTCTTCTCGTTGTCATCACTTTTCAGCTGCTCCTCACTTTCTTTTTCAAGTTTCACATCTTTTTGGATCAGGTGGGGTATTTAAACACTTGCCCACTTCTCAAAGTTACATCATTCACTATTTCCTTGGAATTTCTTTCAGTATCAGCAGGAAGAGTGCCTGGAACCCTCTCAGATAATATTGTTGCAATTTGTCCCACTTGCTTCTCTAAATTTTGGATTGCTTCCCCTTGTACTTCAAATCTTTCATCAATTTTCACAATGAAGGCCTTCTTGAGATCTTCTAGACCGGGTTGATTGGGCTGTTGAGGCTGAAATTGCTTCCTCGGCTGATTCATAAAACAAAGAGCTCTTTGTCCCTGAAATTTGGAGTTGTTTTGTTGCCATGTATTAGCGGTACCCCCAAGTGAACTCCATAAAAAACTGGGGTGCTTCTGACCCATTGCATTAAAATTATAATTTCCCACAGCATTCAATTCCTCGGTTGAGGCTTGACACTCATGAGTAGGGTGTCCTCTTCCACATGTATCACATGCTGCATGAGGCTCACTTTGTATCGTGGCTAAGGTCAGCTCTCGTATTTCATTAGCCATAGCATCAAGCTATGCCTGCACAGATGTATTAGCATCAACTTGGTGAACACCAGTTGATCTTTATTTTTCAGCACTCTCTGAGGGCCACTAATTAGCATCTTCAGATAACTCATCAAGAATTCTAACTATCTCCTCTAAAGTCTTCTTCATCAAAGGGCCTCCGGCTGCATTGCTCAATGTTCTACGCGAGGCCGGTGTCAATCCATCCCAAAATTCCTGGAGTTGCATCCAGAGTTCAATTCCACTATGTTGACACTTTTGAACTATCTCCTTAAACCTCTCCCATGCTTCAAAAATACTTTCAGTCTCTTTCTGGCAGAAGTTATGGATTTTTCTTCTAAACTTGCCCATTTTAGCTGAGGAGAAATATTTATCAAGGAATTTTATGGTCATCTCCTCCCTTGTTTTGATCGATCATGTGGGCAAGCTTTGAAGCCACTGCTTTGCATTATCTTTTAGTGATAAGGGAAATTGCCCTTAAGTACACTGCATCTAGTGACACCCCATTATATTCAAAGGTGTTCATAATCTCCTCGGAGACCATTAGATGTGTGTTTGGATCTTCGTTCATCTTTCCTCTAAAAACACAACAATTCTGAATGGTTTGAAGCAACCCTTACTTCAACTCAAAATTATTAGCTGCAATTGAGGTTGTCTAACACTTGATAAGCCTTGATTGTAGATTAGCCTAGCATAATCGCCCAGTGATCTCCCAGGTATGGGAGTTATATTCCCGAACTTGTAATGACTCGATCGGTCATTTTGATTTCTAGCATGTCGTTCGGTGGTTTGAGGCCTTGAGTAGCTTCACTTCAGGTATTATTACTTGTATGTCTGGTCGGAATTGAATTTCGAGAAGTTCGGAGTTGATTTGGAAAGAAAATTCTAAATTCGGAAGCTTTAAGTTGGAGGATTTGACCAAGGTTTGACTTTTGAGTAAACGACCTTGGACTCGGGACTTGAAGGTTCCAATAGGTTCGTATGATGATTTCGAACCTGGGCGTATGTTCGGGTCGAGTATCGGGTGGCCCGGGAGTATTTCGGTGCTTATTACAGAAAGTTGGCATTTTAAAGGTTTACGAATTCCCTAAGTTTGGGTTGAAGTGGATTTTGATGTTATCAATGTCTGTTTGGAATTCCGAGTCTGGGAATACTTCCGTATGGTTATTTTGGTCTTAGGAGCATGTCCGTACGTTGATTTGAAAGTCCGTAGGTCATTTCGGCGTCAATTGACGAAAGTGAAAAATTGGATGATTTTTGGGAAGTGTGACTGGGAGTGGACTTTTTAATATCGGGGTTGGATTCCGATTTCGGAAGTGGGAGTAGGTTCGTAATGTCAATTATGAGTTGTGTGCAAAATTTGAGGTCAATCGGACTAGATTTGATAGGTTTCGGTGTCGAATGTAGAAGTTTGAAGTTCTAAAGTTCACTAAGCTTGAATTGCGGTGTGATTCGTGGTTTTAGCGTTGTTTGATGTGATTTAAGGCCTCGAGCAAGTTCGTTTTATGTATTGGGACTGGTTGGTGTGATTGGACGAGGTCACGGGGGCCTCAGCTGTGATTCGGGGTGGTTTTGGACCAAGTTTGAGTGTTTTGATGTTGTTGGTTCTGGTGCTGGTGTCGTGCTTCGCGATCACGAAGAAGGATTTTTTGGCTGCTGAATTTTTTTGTTCATCGTGAACATGACACAGGGGTCGCGAATGCGGAAAAGGACCTGGAGCAGCCTAGGCGAACGCGACATTGCGGTCGCAAACGCGGAGAAGGAAGGAGAGCTCAGAGCCTGGAAGTGGTAAGCCTTCACGAACGCGTCTGTGTGACCGCGAACGCAAAGCATCAAGACCTGGAGGCATCAT